GTCTCCCACCCCTCACTCTCTCTTTCACCCTCTCCTCTCTCTCTCTCACACCCATAAGGCGCTCTCTATCACGGACGCGTCCGTCATAGACAGATTCACGTGCCAAGCTGCCGTACAACCAGGCATGCTGCGCATCTGGGCGAGCGTACTGCAGCATGGACCGCACAGCATCAAGGTACGGCACGTACGACTTGTACTGCAAACGTGTTTTCTTTTGTCGAAGGCTGTGGGAAAGAGACGCCAATGTTCTTCCGATTTCCCTCCCTTTTCCATTCGATCATCCTTCATTCCGGGCCCCCGCACTTCCCGACAGCATCTAACCTCCCCCCCCCTCCTCATTAAACGGAAACCCCCCCGCACGACCCAAACCCCCACTTACCCCCAAACCCACCACCTGTTCCTCCCCTTTTCGCTCTTTGCATGTGATACCCCAACAATCCCCCCAATAAAGCATCTTGCCCGCCCAACAAAACACACACACGCGCGCCCGCCCGCGCAGGCTCTTATGGTGCCCGTACCCGCCCAACTTGTGGGCTCCACCTTTGGCAAGGCGCGCTGCCAGTACGCGGATGCCGTACTTATCGGTATCATGCGGGCTAACGGAACCAACGGTAATGCGATAAATGGAACCGCCAGCAGCAATGGCGGCGGCGGCACCGCAGCGGCCGCAACTTGCTTCACAACCACCGACGGCGGCAGCGCCGGCGACGCCGCCGCCGCTGATGCCGCCAGCTACAGCCTTCACATGGACGTCCGTGATCTGGACGGTTGGGAGTTGGCGGTTGGCGATGTGTTGGTTATGTTTGTTCCGGCGCGTGTAGCGGGTGTACCACAGGCGAGTACGGCGACGGCGGCGCTGTTTCCGCCGGCGGCGGCGGCGGCGGCGGAGCGCATCCGACGCCATGTCGGCTACAACGCCCCCCCCAAGCGCGTCATCATGGCGGGCTACCGCTGGCAGGATGTTGCGGTGGGCGGTAGTGGTAGTGGTAGTGGATGGTGCCGTATTGTTGACGTGGCGTGTAATGCGGGTTTGGGTGGTTGGAGTGGTGGTGCTGTGGAGAAAGGGGTGAGGAGGAGGTGAGGGTGAGGGGGCGTCGTACACTCGTGCGGCTGGTCGCCGTGCACAGTTCCGTACCGGTGGGTGGGCAAGTCTTGTTGTTGTTGGATCCTCCCGCACCGACCTCGGGGGGTTGCTGCCGGTACACGCCATGAGGTTGTGCCGTACGTACGGTACTATGGCAGGATCGTCATGTACGACCTTTCCTTTCCTTTCGCGGCGCTCGCTTTCCTAATTATTCCTCTTCTTTCTCTCCTCCTTTTCCTTTTGCCCTTCGCCTCCGCTTTGCAAACTAAGGGTTCTTATATAAACTCACACCGACCCATCAACCCCAACCACCAACCACCAACCACCAACAGGACGTGGCAGCGGCCTTCTCCGACTCCGCCCCGGACGGCAGCCAGGTCACCTTCATCCTCCCCCACCTGCCCTCTGAGGGGGAGGGGGAGGGGGGGGGGAGTCCGGAGCTGCCGGGGTTCTCGGGTTCGTGCCGGATACGTTACGTGGACGCGAGGGGCCCCATGATCAGCCTGAGGGCCCTACACGTGAGCGTATGTATGTATGTATGTATGTTTGTGTGTGTGGTGGGTTAAAGCTGCGATGTTATCACCAAACTTCAACGAACCTTCAGTTACTAACCGTCAACTGTCAACCGTACCGCGCAGGAGGCAGGCATCAAGACTGCGGATGCTGTGGTGCTTCGGCCGCCCATCCAGGTCAGCAACTGAGAGCAGCGCTGCAGCGGCCTCATTCGGTTGAATACCGTTGGCAGTTAATGGTTGTTGAACAGTTAGTGGTAGTTGATTGTACGACTGGGACGGAAAGGAGTAGTTTTCGCCCTTTCTTTAGGCACTTTTGTAGTACTGTGGAAAATGTTAATCTCCCAAATTTAATGCTTCAGCTTCTCCTTTTAGTGTTGACCTGCTGTTGGTGCTGTTAATGGTGTTGTTAGTGTTGTTGTCAGAAACTAATTGGTTTGAGCCGGTGGATCGACCCGTGGGAAGGGCAGTCCGCATGGTCCCGATTCTTCCTCCGCCGCTCCTCCTCCTCCTCGTCGTCGTCACCCACTTTGGGGCTTCCCCCGTTTTTCTTTCCTCTCCGGAGGGGTTGACGGGTTACCCACTCACGAATGCCGTACTTGACGATTTGATATGCCGTACACTGTACAACAGGATATGGAACGCTGGTGTGCCAAGAAGCCCGTGACGGCCCGTATTCGAGAGGCGGATGCGATGGTAATGGCGGGACTGATTCAGGTATGTATGTATGTATGTATGTTGTTACAGGGTGGTTAAGCTTCACCAGTGGCCGCCTTCCCGAGGCAGTTCCCTGCTCTCCCCTGCTAGAGGGGCACCCTAATCCGTCACCCCATCCGACTTCAGAATGTATTCGTTGGGTTCAGCAACTCACCACCAGCATCCAACCAAATCTAGCGGATCAACGGCGCATCAACTTAGTTCCTGGTCAGCTCGCAAGTATGTATGTATGTATGTCTGCTTGCATGTCTGTATTTCTGCCTGTCTGTCTGTCTGTCTATACGTGTCTGTATTTGTGTATGTTAGGGTGTATGCGCCCTTAGGGAGGTTGGGGAGACGGAGAGAAGCGTGTGCGTGTGTGTATGTGTGTAGGCGTAGGGGTGCGTGTGTGTGGGTGTGTGATGGGGGCGTGGACGGCATCTCCCACGCGGATGATTCATGATGCCTAGCAGAACTTCTTTCATTGATTCGTTATTGCTTTTGTTCGCTTTTGTATACGGCAATGCAATATCACGCAGGTTCAGGACGCGGTGATTGCATCAGGTCGTACGGATCCACCGCACGTGGTCGCGCGGCTCAACCGTTACGGGTCAACGGAAACGGCTCTTCGGTAGGTGGTTGGTAGTTGACGGTTGTGGACGTTGTTTCTCGAATGCAGTTCTGGTTTTTCAGGTGTTGTTCCTGCGGTACCACGAGGCCATCAGGCGCAGCGCCCCCTCAACCGTTTCCTCCGCTCTGCCGTCGTTCGTCATGGGGTTTGAGGTTTGTGGATTGTTTTGCTTGTTTGTTTTCGTATCCGTATGTTCGTGAATTGGTGTTGCGGTTTTGGCGGGGCAGAGGTTCCGGGCACTCTCCGCACACATAGAAGCTGCTCCGGGTCGCCTCCACCTCCTCCACCTCCACCTCCACCTCCTGCTAGGGGCTTTCCCCCCACCGCTCCCTCCCTCCAGGCCTCCTTCACGCCACACGGTATTTCCACCCCGCTGCCGTACACGTCATGACCTTCCCTCCGCTGGACGCTCCCCTCTGAACACACATACACACACACGCACCCCCCGGGTGCCCCCCGGGTGCTCCCCGGGTCCCCCACAGGTATTTTGAGATGCTTTCTCCCCCAGCGCCACCACAGCCACCACCACCTCAACTACAGCAACAGCAGCAACAGCTGCAGCAACTTCAGTTACGACAGCAACAGCAGCAACAACAACAACAACAGCAACAGCAGGCTGCTCAAAATGCGCAGCATGCGCAAACCGCAGACAAAGAGGCCACAAACCACCACAACCACCACAGTTGGTGGTTGGTGAGGTGGCTGCATTCAGAGACTTCCACCACCACGACCACAAAAAACACACCGCAGCCGCCACAGCAGCAACAGCAGCAGCAGCAGCAGCCGGCCTTATCCTCCCAGGCACATGTACAACAGCTACAGCCGCTACAGCCTGAGCTACAGCTGCAACGGCGAGCTGCAGCCGCAAAGCCATCACCGCCAGCTGCCGCCCATTGTCCACAACAGCTACAGCCGCTGCAGCCGCTACAGCCGCTGCAGGATCAAGTCCTCGAAGACCCCCGGCGACAGAATCACATCTGGCGGGGACTCCTGCCACAACACAGACGTACGGCAACGACGACGGACCTCCCCGCAGCGGCAGCGGCGGATACGGCCGCAACTACCGCAGCGGACGGTTGCAGCCGCCGTCACCTCACCAACCGTCATGGTCACAGATGGGCCTTACCCTTGCTGCTACGGCGAGGCCACCTCACCGAGCTGAGACCTGACGGCAATCAGGATCATGCAGGCGCGGCAGTAGCAGCCGTACCTCTCAGTGCCGAGGGTACTGTTACTGTTACTGCTACTGCCGCCAGCACTCACACGGGGCAACCCTGCGCTCACACACAGACGCAGACGCAGACGGTGGTTGTTGGTCAGAGCAATGGAGCACACCCACCGCCGCATCACTGCCTGCCGGGGGGTCTGACGCTTCATCTTCCCCTCATGCCGGCGTTGCATTTGCCGGGTAGCGGTGGTGCCAGTGGTGGTGGTGGTGGTGGCGGAGGCGCGGAGGCGGAGGCGCCGCCATTGCCATCTTCATCCTCCACGGGGATGACGGCAAATTTTCCAGCAGGAGCCGCTGGAAGTCCGCTGGCTCATCAGCTGCAGCAGCCGCCGCCGCAGCAGCAGCAGCAGCCGCATGGTGCGGGTGTTGGGTCGTCTTCCACCGCGGCGTCGGTGACATCGGCGGGAGCTCCAACCTCTTCCAACCCCCACCCTCATCACCCTCATCGCCTCGAAGCTCAGGCCCCATCCCAACCCCAGCCTCAATGCCAACAGAACCAGCACCAACACAACCACAACCACCACAACCACCAGCGCAACCGCCACCGCCCTGAGGGGCCCCTGGCGGCCATGCAGGCAGTCATGGCGGGGGCGGTGCATCCAGCCCTGCCGATCGGGTGAGTGGTGTGTTAAGACCAGCAAAGCGCCGGACCCCCGTTGGGTCCTATTGATGTGGTTACCATTCACTGGTATATGAGTGTCATTTCGGTCATTTCACGTGTTTACCTTCTTTAACTCGTTTTTTTTACCTTCTCCAGCTCGATAGCGACTGAGCACTGCCGTACCTTGCCCCACACCCCCAAATGCGTGTACGTGTACGGATACGTGTACGGATACGTCGCGCATCGCCACCCCAGTGATGAAGGGAGTGCCGGCACGTTGTCCCAAAGCCAAGCAGACCACCCGGCCAGCGTCGTGGGTACGGCAACAGGTACGGCAACAGGAGCGAAACCAGTGCTAACGCGGGCGTCAGCAGCCGGCCAGGCTGATGGCGGCAGCGGCGGCGCCGGCGGGTCGCAAAATGGCGGCGGTACGACATCGGGAGTTGCTATGAACGGCAGCAGCGGTGTTGGGAGTGGGGTCAGCGGTAGCAGTGGCGGGAGTAGCGCAGGCAGTAACAACGGCGGCGGCAGTAGCAGTGGCGGCGGCAATGCTACAACTCAGGCAGGCAGTAGCAGCAGCGGCAGTAACCCCACACCTGGTGACGCCGCTGCTGCCGCTGCCGGCGGCAGCGGCGGGTCAAGCAACGGTAGCAGTAGCGGCAGCAGCGGCACGAGCAACAGCGGTAGCAGTAGCAGCGCATCCAGCACCAGCACCGGCGGCTTACCCGGTACGGCAACTGTGTACGACAAGCGGCCCATCATCCGCAACCCGGAGATCTTCCTTGCTGATGACTTGATCGGCGCGTTGCTCACGCAGGTATGTACGGCGAGTACGGAAGTACGGCTTCTTGCATTGCCCAAAATACGCTTTTAAATTGACGAATAATATATACATATATGTATATATATGTACATATATATGTACATATATGTATATATATGTACATATATGTATATATATGTACATATATGTATATATATGTACATATATATGTGTATATATGTATATATATGTATATATATAATAATTCATTGAAGTTGGCAAATAATAAATAAACATAATGGATACGTCAAAAAATTAAAGAGTTTTAATTAGAATATTACTATTTTAAATCAGATATGGGTGTATGGAATACGATTAAAGGGCTTAATGACACGATTGATATGGTCAATGGGGAAATCCCTTCTGCATCCCTTGGGTATGCGTGATGTCGTTCTGTATGTCGTTCCATATGTCGTTCCGTATATCGTTCCTCGGCAGGTCGCCGCCCAGCCCAGCTACACCCAGCTGGTGTCGCAGCTGATCAGCAAGGACGGCGCTGAGCTGTACCTGCGGAGCCCGGCAGTGTTCAACATCGCCCCGGGTGCGGGGTTGTGTGCGTGTGTGTTTTGGTGTCGGGGGGGAAGGAAGGGGGGGGAAAGACGAACCACGAGCGAGTGAAGCTGCTGCCAAAGAAAGAGCGCTGCGGCAGATATAGGGAGGGGGGGAGGTGTGTGTGGGGGGGGGCGGGGGTTGACGGGTCGCGAGGAGGTGAGCGGACGTACGGACGAACCTTGTGTGTGTGTGTGTGTCGGGGGGAAAGTACGGTGGGTGTCTTGTCTCATGATATCTCACACATGTCACAAAACTGCGATTAATTTATTTAAAATATTTAAATAAGCAATCAAATAAGTAAAAATTATTTAAATGATAAATAAAAAAACATATTTATGATTTTTTAATATTATTAAATAAATAATAAATTTTAATATTATTTAAAAAAAATAAATAAAACCTTATTTGCCCTGCCTGCTTGTGTACAGGTGAGCGGCTGTCGTTCGCCGAGCTCACTGAGACCTCCCGGCTGCTGCGGCAAGTGGCGCTGGGGGTGGTGCGTGCAGACGGCCGCTGCTGCCTGGTCCCCAAGCCACATGAGCTTCTGGACTTCAAGCCCGGGGATCAGGTGCTCGCGCTGTCGGACGATTACCGGATTCGAAGAAAATAACTTCTTGTCGTTGTTGTTGTTGTCGTTTTATACCTGGGGTGTGGGTGTGGGGTGTGTGAAACCCATTGCCGTACACATGCAGTACGGCTCAGCGTGGATGGTGACGTGGAGCATGCTGTTGCCGGCGGCACCACTTCCCGGCGGCGTGAAACCGCTCTGTGTCGCCGTAGCAGCTCCAGCCCGGGGGCTGCCTACGCCGGCGGAGGCGACGGCGGGGGAGCTTCCGCCGCGGCGGCGGCGGCGGCGGCGGCGGCCACTGCCACATCCTCCTCCTCCTCCTCCAGCCCCACTGCGGCGGCGCTGCAGCCAAGCTGCTCTCTGCCGCCGCTGGACAGTGACCCCGCTTCGCAGGGGACGGGAAGGGGATGTACGGCGGGTGTCGCGGCTGGCCCTGACGGGGACGGGTGGTACGGCAGGCCCCGGTTGCCATCGCCCCGCCGCCGCCCCGGTCGAATAGTGCATGGCCTGGGGCGGCGAGGTGCGCATGTGCAGCGAACAAGCGACCGCAGGGTCCTGGAGCAAATCGCGATAGGAGAAGAGAAAATGGGAGAGGGGGGGGGAGGCAAAAGGAGTCAGGGATGTTTGTGGGTTACGTCACCAGGGTTTGGGTCAGAAGGTCGTTATCTCGAAATCTGTCGGTTACCCAACCGAAGCGACCGGTTGGGTTGTAGCTGCTGTACGGCGGTCGGTTACCAACCCTGTTATATGCCGTAGGGGTTGCGGTGTGTGCATGCATATGCTGTGCGACGCACGCTGCTGCTTCCCCTCATATGCTGCATTGATTGCTGTGTGGCCGGTTTCGAAGTAGCTGATTAGCCCAGTTTAGCTCAAAACTTCATGAATCTTGTCGCTGTGGAGGTGCTGCAATGGCCACCAGCTCGTCGTCCGTCGCTACCAGGGCAGGTAACGGCCCGGGGCATCATTCCTTCCGAGGACTACGACTTTCAAAGGGCACACTCTTCTGCGCTAAACACTGTAGAGTGTCGTACATTCTACATCACAAAATGCAAATCCCGTACATGTGTACAACCAAGAATCGAGGCGAATTGAGCTGAAAGGGACTTGGTGCTATGTTCCGGGGCCTGTAGTTTTCGCCACAGGTATTCAGCAGGTGGCTGATTGTAGTGGCCAGCGGTGGTGTCTGCAGGCATCAATTTGCTGGCCCGAATACAGGATGTATTGGAAAGATCTTTGCCGAAGTCCAATACGCGCTCCTCTGCGACTTTCAATATGAGCTGTTGTGATACACCCAACTGGCGTCCGGGATTTCCTTGACTGCTGCAAGGTGTAGACCATAAGGAGGGCTTCATGCCGTAATTTTAAGGGTTACGCTCCGAATCCAATTTAAAAAACGATGTCAACAAGGATTACCATCCTGATAAAAATAATTTAGCTAAAGTGATGCATGCTCTACTGCCTGGCAACATACATCTCAGCGTATGGGCCGCCTGATCCCTACATTTTGTTGGTCAACTGTTTTTGCGACAGTTATGTGATGAATTGCCAACGATAAAAGTATACTATTGCAAAATAATCTACGATAAAAAGTTAGTTCAGTTGGAGGACGTACCTGGTATCATAAATTCATTTCGACGTCAGGCTAATATGGCCTGAGCTTTCGACCACAGTAATAAATATCTTTACCAACCTGAACAACACCTTAAACTATGGAAGCCATCGTAACCATCGCAGGGTGGCTGTTGCTTGGTGAGTGATACATAGCCTATTCCGGTATCGCGCATGCTGCACATCCTATCTACTACCCAACAAGTCACGGCGCATCCTGGAATTCCAGGTCTCGCCTTCTCAATCTAGTCTCTGGCGGCGAGGCGTTCTTCCTCCCCACGCCGGGCATACCATGTCCTCCCGAACCCTGACGATTGCACCTCCCCTTACCCATGACGCGACAGCGCTTATTTCCGGCAGCTTCCAATTGACCTCAACTGCTATATCCTCTGGCTCCTGGGATCAAGCGGCCGCGAAGCTGATGCGTCCGCATGCCAGAAGAAATCTTCGAAATGCTGGCGATGAACCGCCTGCTTGGACCATGTGCCTGGACACCTGCAACAAGGTACCATATAAAAGAACCTTCTTATCGCCATATTCGCACATTTGCTCCGAACTTTCTTGTTTGGCGCCGCATTCCTCCATTCAGCATTCGAATGCCAAGCCAAGCCCAGTTCCTAGAAGGGAGACACGAGCCTGATTCGCTATCTGCCCTCAAAAACGGACACGAATCATGAGTCGCCTTCTGTGTTAAAATTTCGGGGACACGTGCTATCGTTGTACGGCAGGTCGCAGCCGGATGGATATCCCGTCTGTGACCTGCCCACCCGTTCGTAGGTGCCTCGTGTACAGACAGTACTGCACACGTGCTGCAGTAACTACCCGTATTCATTATCTCGGTGTGAGGGAGGGGAGGGAGGAGAGGGAGGGGAGGGGAGGGGATGGTTGTATGTAACGGCCTAGAGAGAGTTCACCGAGGTCGGGACACGGCCCCTCGCGTGTGTGTGTCACATCCCCCTACCCCTCCTCCCCCGCCATATCCTCCGTACATGCGCTTGCAGGCCAGGAACGAGGTCTGTGAGGAGGGCCGCCCCGGCAAAGTACCCGTCAAGATAACGCAGTTCATGGCGTACTGCGATTTGGGGTGGGTTGGGGTTTCGGAGCGGGTGTGGCGGTCATGGGCGAGTGAGGGTTTCACGGGCTACTGGTGAGTGGGGACAGTTTTGCCTGGTTGCTTGATTAGGATATATCGTGGGCCATTGTTTATTCCTGGGGGGCCGTGCTTCACACGTGTTTTTTTTGTGTGTGTTTTACACATTACTAGTTGCGTTTCCTCCGTGTCAAAATCTCCCCCCCTAACCCCCTAACCACAACACCGACCCACCCCACTCACCCTCAACCGGCCGCCCTTCCTGACACGCCGTACAGCACTGACTGTACGGACTGCGGGCCCTGGTCCACATCCGCTGTGAATGTGACATGGTGAGGTCTGTGTGTGTGGGGGTTGGGAGAGCAAAAGGGGGGAACATGGTGAGACGGAAGGGGGGAATGCGGGGTTTGGGGAGCTGGGGTGAGACTGTGTGTGTTTGGGAGCCGGGGAGTCTTGCCCGGGAGTGGGTCCGGGTTGGGGGCGGGGGTGGGGCCAGAACACACTCCCCCGATCTCCATTTTGGTGGTCCACGTTGTGTATGTAAGTATGCAATATGCATGTATGTATGTATGACTTGCGTCCTTGGGAGTGTTTGTGTGTGTTTTCTCATTATATGGTAGCAAGTCGCCGTACAGTGCCGTACACTCTCGCTCTGCAGGCAGGACCCAAAGGTCGTCGGACCAGTTCGTTTCCTCAAGGCCCGCGACTTGCAGGTATGTATGTATGTATGTATGTATGTATGTATGTATGTATGTATAACCGATCCATACCCATCCACGCGCACCCGCAAAACCCCCCAAACGCTCCCCTCATGATGCCGCTTCGGGTGGTAAAATACGACACATATACGTTTACAACACGCACGATCCCCATGTACGGCAGGTCCGAGTGCGCGAAGCCGCCGTACACCCCAGTATACAGTTCAAATTTGCGTACACCAACCCGGAGCAGGACTTCGATGTGTCGTACCATATGGATGGCTCGGGAATCGTGGAGGCGGGAATCACCACGGTGGGGGCTGTGGGGGGGGTGTATGTGTGTATGTGTATGTGTGTATGTGTATGTGTATGTGTGTTTGCGCGGTGGTGGGGAAGAAACTTCCCTTCTTGGGGTGCAAGAGTCCAAAACGGTTGGTTAACTGCTCTAACTGACACCTTTAAAGCGCCCCTAACTGCATCTCATCGTCTTATCCCCAACTGCCGTAGGAGTGTCCAAAGCAAAATGGAGAAACAACCACCACCCCCCGGGAGACTCAGCCCCAGTAATCAGGGTTTAGGATTTCACGGGTTTAGGATTGATGTCGTGCGAGGAAGCTCGACTTACGCGCGGGTGAAGATTTGTTTTAAACCCTAAGTTACAAGTCCCCCTGTCCCCTCCCCCTCCCTCCCCCATGTCCCCTCCCCCCCTCCCCTCCCTCCCCCCCGCAATCCGCTACCTGCCGTACAGATTGTGTACCAGGTGCTGGCGGGGCGGTGCCTGCGAGAGGACGGCAGCAGAGCGCTGGTGGTGGATGTGGGAGCCAACTTCGGCTGGTTCGCGGTCCTGGCGGCCAGGATGGGGTGCAGGTGGGGGGGGGGAGAAGGGGTTAGGGAGGTAGGAGGAGGATGGAAGAGGGGGTATGGATGTTCATGTACCAAGTCATGAAGAAACAAAAAGGGAAGCGAGGAGGGAGGGGGGTGAGGGAGGGGAAGGAGGAAGTCACCCGGAACGTCCAACTCGTCCAACCCCTTAATTTGCCATTCGCCTCCTAATGATGCCTACTGTACGACAATTCGCCACCTAATGATGCATTCTGTACGACAAACAGGGTCATCGCCTTCGAGCCCGTTCCGTTGTTTCGATCTTTCTTAGAGTACAACATCCACCTCAATGACCTGTCCAACCTGGTCGAAGTTCGATCGTCTGTGGTGAGGGGGGTGAAGCTGGCTCTGGGGGTGGAGGGAGTGTGTGTGTAGGTGTAGGGGTGTGTGTGTGTTGGTGTGTGTGTGTTGGTGTGTGTGTGTGTAGGGGTGTGTGTAGGGGTGTGTTGGGAGAGGGGATAGGGAGGGTGCCGTGGGTATGGGAAAGGAGTACGGGGAAAGGGGGTAAGATCTATCTGCTTTGAAAAAAGAAAGAGGGGGTTAGAGCGTCGGGGGGGGAGAGGGGGCCCTGGAGAGGGGCACGGACCCGCGTGATGTGTATTGATGCAAAGTAGTTGTCCAGTCAGCCTCGTGTTCGTTGAGCCGGTGGGTTGGTGGTTAAAGTGCATCCTGCCCTTGCGCTTTCCCGCAACCCCACCCCCCAATCCATGAACACACACTTATACACACACGCTTATACACAAACCCCTCCCCCACCCCCTCCCTCCACCCAACCATGCAGGTGAGTCACGAGAGCGGTACCCTGATGAAGATGGTCGTACCCGCCCGGGGCATCTGGGGTACCGCGGGCATTGACGGACTCAACATCGACACTGCCATTGAGAGTGGGTACTTGGGGGGGGGAGGGTGAGGGGGGGGAGGGTGAGGAGGGGGAGGTAGAGGCGGGTGAGGGGGAGGAGGAGGGGGAGGGTGATGATGAGGGGGAAGGGGGAAAGGGGAGGGGGAGGAGAGGAGGGGATGTTTATTATAGTAAAAAAGATATATCTTTGTACATGCACATCCATACATCCCCCCCCCCTACACACACACACACTCCCCTGCACTGCGGACGCCAGGCAGACACCAAACCATCGACGTGCCCAGTGTACGGCTAGAGGACGAGATCAAGAGTGACGTACTGCTGCTCAAGGTAAGCCGCACTGCGTCTTACCCGGTGGTGTGCTGTCTGTCGTACCGCACGCCATACATACACATTACGAAATCACCATTTTTTCGTTTCGTTCCGGCCTGTTTGGACTTCGCATGCGTGTGGATCAGTAGCACGGGATTTATCAACCCGTACAAGTATGTCGTACGATATGTAACTACTGCAACCGAGCATCAAGCGCTACCAGCTGCTCGTACGATACGCTGATTCCCGCTGTGTGCCTGCCGGAACATACATACATACGGGCGTACATACACACAGACATACATATAGGTTAGGCACTACTGGTAGAGCACGCACCAATGCCCCCGGGAGATCCCGGGATCGAGACCTGTCAGGGTCAAAAATCCTTCCGATGGTGGAAGGTAAAGTGCCCCTAGTTGATGGACGGTGGTGACCTGGGGTAAAGTTAACCTGCGAGCCGACCAGGAACGGAGTTGGGCCGCCGTCGACCCGGCAGATTCCGTTGGATGCTGGTGGTGGGTGCGGAACCTGAGCGATCCACTGAGAAGTTGACTAGGGGTGACTGGATGAGGGTGCCCCGAAATACCGGGGAAGGCAGGGTTTCGCAGGGTAGCGGCCGCAGGTTGAAGATATACCCCCCTGTTCCACACACACATACATACATACATACATTCACGGCACATGGCGACGATAACGACATAGATCGTTTCAGGACGAGGCCCCCGAGCCGCAGCTGCAAGGCTACAGCCATCGGGTCTGCGACATTAGCTAGGCTGGCCGTACACTCGGCATCACGGTTGTGGATGGTGTCGTAGCAACCAACCGTTGGGTTGAAGTACTCGCCGTACATGACGTACATGTCGGTGCCCCCGCGCCGCCCCCGCAGGTTGATGTGGAGGGGTGGGAGTGGTCCGTGATGCAGGGGGCCGCGGGGCTGCTGCGGGGCTACCTGGTGGAGAACGTCATCATGGAGTATTCGCCAGGTGGGTTTACGAGTGGTAGTTGGTGGTTGTAGTTGGTGGTTGTAGTTGGTGGTTGTAGTTGGTGGTTGTAGTTGTTGGTGGTAGTAGTTACTGGGGCCCCCTCTCCCTCCCCCCTGAATACACATACACACATACATACACGCGCGTGCTCCCGACGTAACGCCCGCAGGGGCCCCCGAGCGGCATTTCAAATGGGACCACATGCTGGCCCACCCAGCCATGTTGTACGACATGATCACCAAGTACGGATTCCGTATTGGGCACATCGGTGACGCGGACAAACACATCAGCGCGGGCTGGGATGCGCCACTGCCCCCGCTGCGGGAGGTGGGAGGTGGCTGAGGGGGCCTTGGGGCGAGGGGAATGCGTGTGTGTATGTGTATGTGTCCGTGTGTACATGCGTGTTTTTTGGGGGGGGTTCAGAGAAAGCTTCGGATTATGGTTATGGTTAGAGACTTCAATGAGATCTTAGGGTTGGTGGGGGAGTAGCTGGGGTAGGGGGGTTGTTTAAAAAGGCGAGGAGCTGTCGTTCTGGGCAGCAGGGGAGGGGAGGGGAATGGAGGGGAATTGGGAGGGGAATATGGAGGGGAATGGGGGATGGGGAAAAAGGGCGAGGAAGGGCGGGCTGTGGAGAGAAGTTAACAGTCTGCCAGCTGCCTTGACACGACACATGACACGACAGGATGCCCCACAGAACCTGAATGTGTGGCGGATGTTACTGTGGTAGGCCAGCGGTACAGGGCAAATGTACGACGTGGATCGCCGTACATGTGTACCTGTATGACATGCAGGTGACGCTGGAAAATCTCAAGTACGACATTGAGGACGTGAAGCGGTGGCAGGTGTGTATTCCCGGGGGTCATTATTGCTATGTATGTGTGTGCCTATGTGTGTTTCCAAGCCGGGGATTTTGGGTTATAACATTATATAGTACAATATTTGGGTTTGTTATGTACCCGGCCGGCCTGCGCTTCTCTGTCGACCTTTCTCCCTTCCCCCGTTTCCCCCCCCCCCCCGACC